TGCATCACCCGTTCGGAATCATAACTTGAAGTTTTCCAAACAGCCCAGCTGTATGTTACGCAACTTGAAGGATTCCTGTTAAATCCCGCTCCTGAGGGACTTTATTAATTTTTCCCTTTTAATGGTCACTGGGATCTCCAAGAGAGAAACTTCTGGGAAGGAGGGATTTGTAAGAATTTATGGATTTTTTTTTCCCACTGCCCTCATAGTTTTTGACCCCCCACAGTCCATTACCTGATGGCCACGTCATCCTTGCTCTCTCCTGCCCTTAGCTCGGCCTCCCTTATCTCCCCCACCCCACCGTTAACAGCTGGTCTTCTGTTGCCCTGATTCAACTTTCTTGGAAGCCCTTGACCTGTCCCTTAACCGCCATGTCCCCCTCTCTGCTCTGTCTCCACATGTGTTTGTTGCTAGAGTTTCCATTGCTCTCTCCATGGTGATCGCCCATCTCTAGCTCTAGCCCAGATTTTTTTTAGAGCTCAGACACATATATAAGTTGTCCACCAGCCTGCCCACTTAGTTATTTATCGACCTGAACATTCCTCCTCTCCTTCCTCAAATCTTCCTCTTCCCTGGTGCTACCTGTATTAGCAAACGGTCCCATCACCCACCAAGTGTGCCCACAGACCCCCTCAGTCAGCCTCGCTCCCCATTCTACTCCCCTTCCCGTGTATGATTCACCCCAGCTCCCTAATTCTGTCTCCTAAGCATGGCTCAGTCTGTCTTCTCGTCCACCGTCCTGGACCGAGCACCATCATCTCACCCAAACCTCTGCTGAAGATGGTTTAAAAAGCCTCCATGCCAAGACTTCCACTGCTTTTTGAGCCTTTAAAAAATATTATATTTATTGTGGTAATATTTGATTTATGATACGGTTTCAGGGAAATAGTTTCACACTTCTACAAGCCTGTTACCGCACCATGCCCACCAAAGCCACAGTGCCCCCCTCCATCATGGGGCCTCGTCCCCTTTTTGCTCCCACCCTCATTTCCCCCCTCCTGCCACCCCAACTTCCCCGCTGATAACCTCAGTTCTATAGTCCAATATCAAGGCTTTTTCAGTCTTGCCTTTGTCTACCCCATTGCCTTGTTTTTACATTCCGCACGTGAGCGAACCATTCAGCATGTCTTTCTCCTTCTGATGCATTTCTCTTAGCACCATCCTCTCCAGATGGTGAGACTTCACCTTTTTCTTTACAGCTGCATAGTATTTCATGGTGCATACTTTCATGTCTTCTTTATAAATTCATCTCTCATTGGGCACAAGTTATTTATATAACTTGACTTTTGCCCATCATCCTGCAAGGAGCATAGTGTTGCACATATTCCTTGGACTTAATTTTTTTTTAATTATTATTCCTTAGGTAGATATTCTAGGAGAGGAATTACTGGATCACATAGCAGATCTATTTTCAATGTTTTGAGATACCACCATCCTGGATTTCATAGAGCTTGGAGTACTCTACATCCCCACCCACAATGTACAGGGGTTCTTTTTCTCCACACCCCCATCAACACTTGGTGTTTCTGGTCTTTTTGATATGGGCCATTCTCACAGTGTGAAGTGGTATTTCATTGTAGTTTTGATTTGTATTTACCTGATAATAAGTTTCTAGTCTTGCATCCAAGTCTGATCCATTTTGAAATAATTTGTATGTGTGTTATGATATCGTTTCACTCTTTTGCATTTGGTTGTTTTCCCGACACCATTTGCCAAATAGACTTTTCAGTCACCATTGAATATTTCTGGCCCCTTTGTTGTAAATTAACTGTATATGTAAGTGTCAGTTTATTTCTGGACTCTCAGTTCTATTCCATTGATATGCATGTCTGTTTTTATCCTAATATCATGCTATTTTGATTACTGTTGCTTTGTATTATAGTTTGATGTCTAGGAGCATCTTCACCCATGCAACAGGATTGTTTTGGCTAGCTGGAGTCTTTTGTAGTTCCATACAAGTTCCAGTTATCTCATTTCTTTTTGTCCTTGGTTGGTGAAATTCAGCCTCCAGGAACTTTCATGAGAAGGAATACATGGAAGGATAGATTTGTAAAACATTTTAAAAAGTGTCTTTACTTTTTGCCTTTGTATTTGATGTACCCTTTGACTGGCTTTAGACTCTGCTAAAACTCATTTGCCTCTTCATTGTTAGTACATTTCCCTAAACTTTCTAAGGTCAAGGGCTAATGTTAAGAATTTTTCTATCTTTTTTATTTCAAATAATTTTATAGAGGATCTATGTTTTCTATACTTGGAAGTCTCCACAATTCTTCCTAGAGTTGTAAAATCTCATGATGATGATGTACTTTGATGGAGGCCCCTATTTTTGGCCTTATACTGAGTGGGTCTTTCCAATCAGAAAACACATGTATTTCACCTCTGGCATGCTTTCTATATGTCTTTTGTAATTTCCCCTACCATTTATTTGTCTTCTCTTTCTGATTATGTGTTGGGGTTTTTAGATTGATTAATTTTGAAAATATTTGCTATCCCACTATCCACATATTTGTCTTTTTCTTTTCCTGAGATCTTATAAAGTTTTAACATCTAGTCATTTCATTGTATTTATTTCAGATTTAGAGTTTCCCCAGCTCATTTTTTCCTGCAAATTAACATTTTTCCCCTTTGTTCTTGGGAGTAGTCACCTATGTGATTTGAATAGAAACATTAGGGTCTACTGTTCCTAAACAGAACATTGACTGCTCTTCACTTGGTACCTTCAATTCCTGGGCCTTTCCTACAATTTTCAGCTTGAGTTGGCTTGCATTTCTCTGTCATATTTCATTTGTAAACACTTGGCATTCAGCCATGACAACTTTAAGTCTTTCATTCATCATCCATCTTCTAAGATGTTCATTAACATCTCTCTTATCTTACTTTACTCATTATTATTTTATTTAACTTTGTGATTATATATATATATATATATATATATATATATATATATATATATATATTCACTAATTGTCATTTCAGTAACCTCTCAGGAGTGAATAGGTATATATATGTGCTTTCAACTTTTCATATTTAATCTAAACCACTAATTATCCTTTTCTAAAGATTTGGCCAGAGTCTGATTACTGTTACTGGAAGCAAAAGTCTCAATTTCAATTCTGGTGATAGACCTTTCTTCCCCGCCCCCACCCCATTTCCCCCTTGTTCCTTTCTTATTCACTCTTCTTAACTTTCTTCATCGTTGCTCTCTGACCTGATTAATGAACAGGGCCTTAGTCAGTTCACACTATTTGGCTTCAGAATATCTTGGTTCCATGTAGTTTTTCTCAATTTCTTATTACTACAATAGTGATAACTACTTGCTGTTATTATGACTTACTTTTTTTTTTTAACCTTCTGCGTCAGTGGATCTCAACTCATTCTCTAAATCCTTCTGTGATGATGATACTGATGATGATGATGTTGATGATGATGGTGATGATGGTGATGAGGACATTGATTGAACTCTTAGCATGGATAGCAAGTCCATATCCATACATTTTCCCCTTCAACTGATCCTGTACATTAGTTTTTTTTATTTATTCCCATATATTATAAATAAGAATGATAAAGTTTATGAAGTTTTAATAACTTCCCCAAGAAAATATAGCTGATGGAATTACAACAACAACAAAAGATTTTTTTCCAACAATACCATTCTACATCTTCTGGATGGTAAATGATATAGAAGATACTAGTCAGAGAAATTCAATTTCCATTCGTTTTCAGAAATTATAACAACAGAAAGAGATGCCTAATGATACTTGGTAGTGCTCCTTTGGAAATAGCTACAGGAAAATTGGATGATCTGGTGTGAGGAATGCGGGAGAGGAGAGAGGGCCAAGACTCCTGCACTTGGCTGAGTCTTGGATTTCAAAAACACATTTAGCTGCTCTTCAAAGACGATGATTCTGACTGTTCTACTGATAGTTTTCCACCTAATTATTGCCTAGAAACTTTCTCTTAGTACGAGCACATTTCTTTTTCACCTAATTCATTCTCTATTTATTGTGAATTAATGGAAAGTATGACCATACTATACTTTTATACTAAAATTAATAATAACTCTCATCCATTGAATGCTTTCTGTATCCAGTTATTATGCCAAGGGTTGTATCATCGTTTCACTTCACCCTTATACCAGCCCTGAGAGACTGTGCCATGATTACTTTGTTATCGTTCCAGACCAAAAGAGCCCTGATTGTGGCTGCCTTAGTTTACTTGGGTTGCCATAACAAAATCCCATAGACTTGTTGGCTGGTGCAGCAGAAATTCATCTTCGCATGGTTCTAAAAACTGAAAAGTCTAAGGTCCAACTTGGACTTTGGTTCCTATGGGTGTTCTTAGCTCTCATACCTCCCCCTCCACACTGTATCCTTACCTAGGGGAGACAGGTCAGGGTCTCTTCCTTTTCTTATGTGACTACCAATCCTGTTAGGTTAGGACCTCATTTTTATGACTTCAATTCACCATAATTACTTCCTGAAAGCCCTGTCTCAAAATGCAGTTGTATTGGGGGTTAAAGCTTCAACATATGGACTGGGTCTTGGGAAGGGAGGGGTGCTATTCAGCCCTAGCACACCATGTTTAACTTGGCTTTTATGGAAACATGATGCTGCTTGTTATTAAACATTGTCTTCTGGGTAGAGAGCGTCTCTGTATTACTCTGTGGACACCATTTCTTCCCCATGAAGCAGCTAACTAAAATAGTCTTGATAGATAACTGGGTGCTCTCATTTATTTAAATGGATCAGCTCTTTCTTTGCTATCAAGCAGCAGGAAGGGTTCCATTTATTTGGGTTTAAAGAAACCAGATCCATTGGGGGGAGCCTTCCAATATCTTGATAAAGGAATGCCTTTAACAGAAAGTTGCCTTTGTGACCCTTTCTCTGTTCTTGGGTCAGGGATGGCTTCAATGTCTAAACTTAGTTTTTTTCACTTTTCTATCTGCATAAACTAATTCTAATCTCTAGAGGCTTTTGGTAACTGGTCCATTTCTTCTCCAGGAAGCTCAAGAAACTATTTAGGAAGCTGAAAGATGAGACAGAACCTGGAGAAACTGACTCTGCACACTCAAAGCACCCTGAGCAGTGGGACCTAGACCACAGCTTGGAACCGTACACTGGATTGACCCCAGAGTACATGGAAATGAGTAAGAGCCTGCGTATTTCTTCTACTGGGGGTTGGTTCAAGCTCAAGGTTTGGGAGGACAGTGAGGGAGGAGGATAGAGAAATGGTGTGCAGCTTCTGTTCCTTTAATGCCAAATGAAAGTTGAGATGCTGAAAGAGCCCTGGAATGAGAAACAGGAGCAACTCTGCCAGCAACGTGATACCAGGATAAGAATGATACCCCTTTTTCCTGTGTTTCCTCTCACAAAATGGGAAGTGTGTTCTCATGCCATCGCTTCTACTACTGCTGATAAAACTGAAGTGAGATAATGAAGTCTGAAGTTTAAAAATAGAGTTTCCGTGAACAAAGAATAACATGGGATAAAGATGTATCCATCTTTGACTTGGAGAGTATAAGTGACCCTCCATGCCAGATGGGTCTGGTGGGGTGAAAGGTAGAGTTCTCATTCCAAAGCCTTTGCTTGTTCTTGGACAAAGCTTAGAAGCAAGAGCACAGGTTGAGAGGATGCTGCCATGGTGAATGTGGCTTGGAAGCCATGAGAACCCCATTATGAGACCAGCTACCCTCAAACTCTTGGCTACTTGAGAATAAGCTTGGTCTTTTATTGGGGTAGATAATTGAGAATTCCCTTTGCAAGACTTGGAACTAATGAATTAATAAAATGGGATACCAGAGACTGAGAGGTAAAATATATCACCTAAATATTTACTTAGTCTAAGTATATGGAGAAATACCAATCAAGAGTTAGCATCATTGCACATAGATTGTGTTTGCATAATCGTTCCTGCCTTCTTGTAGTAATCACCATTTGTTTAAATACACTTTTTAATTGTATTTGCACTGGCTTATGCTGTTGTTAGTATTTTGGAAGTGAAGGCTCTCCGTCAGGTCTCCATAGCATCCCCACCACCAAGGCACTCAAGAGTCCTGCATCATGGCCCACTCGGCTCTCCCCACCCTGTTTTCATCCCTCTAACTCCCACTCTGGATGCTTCAGGTTCATGATCTGCTTTCAAAGGTTGGTTTCAAAGTTTTGTCTGAACCTTTGTTTGGTTTTCCTACTTCTCACCCATAAGTGAAACCATCGAGTACTTACTTTTCCCCTCCTGGTTTATTTTGTTAGTCCCTTCCAGCTTCTTCCAAGTTGCTGCAAGTGGCATGAGTTTATCTTTTTTGATCGCTGAGTAGTGTTCCATATATATGCTACATCTTGATTCACTTATCAGTTTAGACTGCCTCCATTTCACTTTTTAATAAGGGGATCCCCCTGCCTCTCTGGGCACCAAATACCCCATTCAGTGTTTCTAATGGATTTCCACCCTCTTCTCTTGATAACAATATACGAATGCATGTTAACGGTAGTAGGATCGCTAGGATCTAGGATTAGTTGTCCATAAATGGTCTGCCCTAGCCCTGAGTAAGTAAAAAGTGAAGCAGGACCTGAGTTTTAAACCTAAATAAACTTACCAGCGAAGAAAAATAATTTTGTGTTTCAAGAATAATAAGCAGAAAAATATTAAGGCCCAATTTGTAGAGACATAGCTTCCTTATGCTTCTCCCCTTTAGCTAACTGCTGCCTCTGATCCTTCTCTCACACTGAACCAGGTACTTGCACAGAGATGACTGTTATATTTCAGGTGCCACTTGGTGTCTGCCAACCTCATACACAGAAAAAAATTGCTGCCGGACTTTGAGACTTCCTTTTGGGAAGGGGTTTACATTAGAAGTCCTTGAGCTCTGTTCTCTGCCTCCCCTCTCTAGTTCCCACCCCCAGCACCCAGTGATCTGTTCATGTCTCCCCTGATAGCTGCCTACTTCAAAGCATCCTCTTTTGAGTGATTAAAAACAGAGACCCTTGGGACACACTGCCTGGGCCCAAATCTGACTGTCTCGCCTATTAATTGGACAGCTTTGGGTAGGTGGCTAAACTTTATGTGTCTTGATTTGCTTTAGCAGTGCCAAAAGGAAAAAAAGAGAGAGAGAGAGAGAAGTAAAACAAAGATGATAACAATCTGTACCTCATGAGATTGTTGTATTTAATGAATTAAAATATGTGGCGTGCTTAGGAAAGTGTCCAGCATATTGAATAACTGTATGAAGCGTCAAGTGGTGTTTCTAGGAAGGACCTTGTGACCCTAGAAAGAGTATGGGGGATTGCTCCACCCTGTCAGCCTCTGTGCCGTGGAACCCACACCAGTGTGTACAAACTGGGGCCATCAGAAAGAAGTGAAAAAAGGAGCAAAAATGATCCCAAGAAGACTTGGTATCTTCTGGAAGAAATTCAGAAAGAAGTTTATAACCAAGGTTATAAAGAGTGAAATCCATTGTATAGATTATTAAAAATCAATAACAACAATGAAGTACACCTACTGACAGCTTAGAAGGGGCCACACAACCATATAACAGAAAGTTTGAAAAAAGAAAAGCAAACTCCCCTCATTCACACTCAACTTTCAAAGTTTTCTTGGTGTCCAGCCACAGATCCTCTTCGTTGTGTTTTAAGATAAAGTTGTCTTTGTTTAAAGATAGTTGTTCTTTTTTTCAGTTATCATTATGAAAATGATATATCCAGGATGTCACAAAATATTTAAAATGAGCAGTGCAGAATAATCCATCTGATACATAAAAGTGTATTCGCTTCTCTTCTAGCCAACACCTACGAGACTTATTTTCCAGGCTTTTTTTAATGATGTAATGTCATACTATCTTCAAGTACATACTTCCCCCCCACATTTAGTATTATTTCCTCAAGACAGATTCCCACAGGTGTGATCATCAACTCTACTGAATTGTTCTCGATTCATTTTACCAAGTGAATGTGAAAGGGTTCCCTCTGCCCACTTCATCGCCTTGGGGCCTGAATATGTCAGACTGCTGAAGACTTCACACAGCTTCCTTGTGAAGCTTTCTTGCATGCCCTTTCCCTCCTGAGAGAAATCATTATTTATCTGGACTTGATCCCTGAGGTCCTTCTGGTTCTGACCTTCTGTCCACATTATCAATGATGAGAGCTCAGGGCAACATTCAAGAAAAAGGACTGGCACGTGCAGAGTTTTACTCATGGCCTTGAGTGAATGCTGGCAAAGCGAGTGGTGGTCCTGGGGCTGGGAGGGTGTAGGAAAAGACTCAGGGAAAGCCAGGCAAGTTTGCATTGCATTTATGGCTTTAGGGGGAAGCTGTGGGATGGTGGCCAGTGCAATGGCCAAGTACGAGCTGTTTCCCTCAAGGAAATGGGCAGCAAGTACCCAAAGGGGGTAGTAAGACTAAGCAAGGGGCAGGGAAACAGGTGGACTCATTCATTTCTTCATTTATTAACATTTAATTATTTATTAAAGATTTTTTATTTATGCATACAAGAACTGGGGTTTAGACCAGAGGTGTGGGGGTGGGGAACAGAACAGATGCCTCTACACTGCTGAGGGGAGCAGCGGGGAGACAGGAGAGGTCTGTTGTACCATGTGGGTCAGCTCCCTGGCTGGGTGGAACTCACTGCAGTGGCTGCTGATAGCTTCATAGTGCTGATACCTAACCCCTTAAGCCACCAGGGAGGCCCTATCAAACATTTATTAAGCACCTAGAGGGAGAAACAAGTTTAGAGACCTCAGGACACTTTCTTTAACAATTTAGGTTGATGATAATTCAATCAACAATTCTGTTGCTGCTTGAGTCTTGGCTGAAAAGGAAGCCTGATTCATAGGTGGTTCTTCCAAGCTGGGTTCCATAGAAATTAAGAGAATTCTATAGGCCATTTTGCTAAGGTTGCTTGTCATTTTTAGAGGCATAACTATTTTGCTTCTTATTTGAGTGTTAAGAAAGTGTTTCTGCATTAGATTCCTTTCACTCTTTTTATCTTTGACTTTTCCTCCTCACTTCTTCATACAAGTGAGTATTTTTGTTAGTGGCCAGACTGAGGTACCGTGAGATCCCAAAACCAGCATGCTCTAAAGAAATTCTGCTACCCACTGCATAAAGTATACTCAGTGTGAAAGAACTTTTAACAGATTAGTGTTCATGGAGAGAGAAGAAAAGAAAGGATAATACTTCCCAATAAAATGCCCAGAGTTGCCCATTCCTGTGTGGGTAAATGCCCAGCCAGACAAGGTTGGCCCTAAGGAGACTGATGAAGCCCCAAAGGTAGGTACCAACCTAAGATTCCTTCTGGCAAGGAACCAAAGAGAAGGGGCAGAAGGGGTCAGGCAAGTCTGGGAAAAAGAGAGCAAAATCAAAGTACAAATCAAAACAATGTCTGCTATTTTTGCCCTCTCCACCAAGCTCTCTTCTGAATGTCTCGCCCTATCTCAAGCCCACGTTTCCTTCCATATCCCCCAAGTCCCTGGTGCAACCCAAAGTGGAGAAGCAAGTGCAATTTTTTCTGCATGTGCCTCTCTGCTCCACACCCCCCCAACCCCCAATCTTTTCCAAGTCTCCTCCTCACTTAGACCCTGGGCACTTCCCAAGGTGGGCAGGAAAGATGGAACCTCCTCATTTTATGGCAATACAGTCTGTGACATTTGCTCCATAAACAGTCAAAGATGGGGTTTCAGGATATACTATATTAAATGGCTGCTTCATCTAGTGGTATAACCGGGGTGAGCTCTGGCGTCAACGCAGCAGGCTTCCAGGCTCACTGTGCTTGGAGCCCTGGGCATGGTGTTTAAAGTCTGGAGGCTCAGTTTCCTCACTGAAAAAGGGTTTGAAGATAACAACACTGACCTCATAGGTTAGTTCTGAGAAGAGGGTGATGAGTAGAGAAAATATCAAAAAGATGAAGAAAAGAAACAATGTTTGGTATTTGTTGGTTCTCAATGAGCATGACCATCACTGTTGTGGTCGAGTCCAATTTCCTACTCTTTCATCTAGAAACTGAGTGAAAACAGTTGGGAGCCCCTGAGCGTGATGAATGCTGAGGTTCTTCCCACGCTGTCAGAGTAGGGCTGGGCAGAGATGTGTCAAGACTCAGGGTGCCAGGCTCCAGCACAGTGTGAGGCTCACACTCAGAAGCCCGAGACAGGACACTCCAA